GGAGAGAGAATCTTGTTGTTTATTTCAAGTGATGGGCTCGGAAGGCGCAGAATAAGAGTGAACTTCGGAAGTATTTTTTAACGCAAGATGGAATGAAGTATCCCCAAATGATAAAACTGTTAGTATAATGCATAATTTAAACTACTATTTCTGAATATGTTGAAATTAATTGTCATTCATCTTTAAAAGTGCGACAGACCTGAGACTTTGACGTCTCAGGCACGTCGAAATGACAAGTGATAAAGGTGCCATATGTCATATAGAATAGCGGACACCTTCATGGTAATAATTGATCGATACTTTGACAGATTAAGTTAAATATTTCATTTTTATTTGAATCATATTTAAGATGTCTTACTTTGACGTCTCGATTTGGATGGTTTGGCGAGTCTGTTATAATTTTAAAGATGGGTTACAATTAATTTGTATATATATATATATATATATATATATATATATATGTCGAAATGATAATTCCAATGATGTATTACATAAATATTTCTTTTGTTTGAAGATACTCCCTATTCCATTGCGGCAAAGTATATTTTTCTTGAAGTTCACCTTCGTTCCGGATTTATTCTTAACCTCAAGGTAGTCCAATCCCTTAAACTCAAACGACAACATATAGTATGGGAATAATTGAATCAGTTTTATATACATCCGGTCTCGCGAGACGTAACCGACGAGTGAAACGACGAAAATCCGCGGGAGAATCGATTGCACCGGTGGCGGCGGTTCGTTTATTACAACGTCGGTGATATCGCATATCTCTTCGAGACACACATATCTTCAGAGAGATTTTTCGTTCGCGGGTATTTCCTATCGCCTGATATGCCGTGCAATACAGGCGAGCTAAGAACAATGCGCGAAATTAAATTCTTCCTGGCGTAGAGGATGTAGAGTGGCAAAGGGGAGAGGGGTGGAGGAGGGAAAGCGACGTAAACGGGACAAGTACAGAGGAATACCATCGGATTTTATTTTTTCGCGAGCGACAAGCAAAGTGCGAACACAACACGCGTAAAAATTCTGAAAATTCACGCGACTGTGCCCGTTGATTCGCACGGACCGTGTTTAATCTCCCGCATCACCGATTTAGCCCTGCCTATCTCCGGATTCTGCTGCAGCAGCAATTTATTCATGTTTTAGTGGCCGCAGACAGAACAATGACACGTTGACGTAACAATCGGGGGATAAATTCGAGAGAACGCGCCTTTTCGATTAAATAAAATATAATAAAACAAATATTTATACGCGATGTATACACGACGTGCATATGCACGCTCCTTCTCCCTTCCTCTCCCACTCTGTCTTTTTTCATCTCTTCGTACGTCACACGCAGCGACACTATGTGGCACGCAGGTGATGTAACGGATGTATATCGCTATGCGCGAGAGTGGTCGTGGGTATGGCAAATGGCATGTGATCTGTCCCCGGATGCCAATCGTTGGAAAATTTCGGCCATGGCGGAACGAGTGGATCAATGTTACGCGACCTGCTACATTGGCCTTCTGATAGGTAACACGACCTCTTGTGCATGTAGCATACGAATAGCTCTGGTCAGCATTCCATTCCGTTTGCCATCGGGCGTGCATCTTTCCCACTCCCGTCGCTCTTCCGAGAGATATCTCTCTGTTTCGACACACTGAACGTCTCGATTCTTATCTTAAAAAGAGGCGATTAAGATCGTCGTTGTGTTCTCACCTCCTCTTTCCGCCGGCGAAATCTCGCACGTTTCTCACGACGGAGATTAAAGGCTATTAATACTTCTTGCGACGTCGTCGTTGTCGTCGTCGTCGTCCGCTGGTACGTATTGCACGATTCGCGTCGGAATTCGAGCTCAGGTGGCTTACGTACGCGCGAGGTGCGAGCTGAAAAAGCCGGAAACGCGGCGCGGTGTCAACGGTAACGATAATGGCGTGGCAACAAGTGCTTTTAACGTCCTAACAACGAATGCTTGCCTGCATTCTTGGGAAAGTGCTCGACACATTGCTCTCAAAGGACCTCGCCGCAATGGTTTGGCGGGATGATGGAGCACGCTGGTCGCCGAGACAAGACGGGAAAGGACAACGAGATGCATCGTGCAGCATCTGAGCCATTCGAATGAATTCTTTAAGCGGTCTCCAACTTCTACCCCACCGCATTCTTCCCCTTTGTCTCTGCCGGCATCGCGGGTATGCCTGACTGTTCCTTCAGTGCTCGCCTTTTTAAAATCCGGCTTCTTTTCGCGTCGCGGTCCAGTCCCGCCGTAATTCCTGCCTGTATTTTGATCTCTGCCCCATTTTCTTTACGAAATCGCGCTTTTGACGTAATCCTGGCTTTCAGGATGGAATAAGTCTCCGACTTGGATTTCAGTAGTTGCTAGTTATGTGTCCAATTAGATTTATTATCATAGAGAGCGAAGGAGTATTATCGTAAATATAGTTACATATATGTATCGACGATTGCATATAACGATGTCACAATAGTTTCGTGCAATTGAAAAAAAAATAATTAAAGCAACGAATATATCTAACGTCGAAAAATTATATTAGAGAGAAAAGAGAGAGAGGAGAGAGAGAAAGAGAGAGAGAGAGAGAGAGAGAGAGAGAGAGGGAGAAAGAGAAAGGGAAAATTACACCTGTACTAAATTCAACCGCTGCGGCAATGTTCGTCTGAGTTATAAAACTGTTTCATGGATAACGTATGCGCGATGTCTACAGTAACTACGCCACGCATCGTTAAACATCATTCGAAAATTTGAAGCGGGATAACGCGTTTTTCCCCATTTCTTTTTATCCTCCGCTGCTACCGTTGATACAATAGCAGCAGCAGCAGTAGTTTTCTTCAGTCTCCAGTACCTTCCCAATTCCTTTCAAACGTAACTCAAGAGGTTCGCAGCGGAGAAATTTTTCGAAACTTTTACGTGGCTTGGCAACAAACACGTTACTTGCCATTATCGCGAGACATTATGTAACTGATGCTTCAGTAATGCAACTTGAACGAGATAATACCGTGCGAAATTAATACGAACGGCGTACTATTGCGAGGACGTATGCAACGTACGGTACCTACTCTGTTCTCTTTCTTTACGCCCGAGTTCGGGGGGTAAGAAAGCTCGGGTGGAATACTCGATCTGTCAAGGCCAGCTGCCGGAGGGTGAACTACTTGATTTACGCCTTTCTTCCATCTTCGTTCGCGGAACATCCTCTTTGCCTTTCTCCCCCTCTCTCTCTCTCTCTCTCTCTCTCTCTCTCTCTCTCTCTCTCTCTCTCTCATTCCTCCCTTGAATGCTCTATTTCATCAGCTTAATTTGGTAGACTCCAAGACGCTTTAAAGTCTTAAACCAAACTTTGCTCTATTTTTTTTTCTTGAATAAGTTTAAAAGTGACATGGTCACGTAAACGTCACGTACGTGCGTCAAGCGTGAATTTTAACGGAGCTTTTCTCCCATTTTTATCAAATAGATACTTTTAGTTAAGTAGTTGTTTGTAATTTACTAATCTATTTACAGCTTAGTGAAATGGAGCAAAAAATATCCTTCATCCGTATACGGATGATAAATTCCCTATATAAACCAATCCTGTCAGTGCCATACTCCTAACTCTATTCTTTCTTTCAACTGTGTATATCTATTCCTTTATCTTTCCTCTTCCTATCCAATCTGTTCTCCTTATTTCCTTTTCATCTTCTCTTCACCAATTTTCTTCCATATCTCGTTAGTTTCCTTACTCCACTCTATTTTTCCTATTAATTCCGTGAAGTGCTTCCTTTGCTTTTTTCTTCATCTCCTATGTCTCTTTCAGCTTTCAGAGATGCCGTTCGGAAGCGACAAGAAGGAGTTTTCCATATCCTTTCTTCTTATTCTTTGTACCTTATCCTTCTTACTTTCACAGTATTTACGTTATACTACTAGTCCTTATGCCATCCTTCTATCGTACATCTTTATTTTGATTCTGTATCCCATCTGACGATACCATATATTTTCTCTTCTGCGCTTCTATCTTTTTTTTACCATCTATTATACATTTCCTTTATCGATAACTCCCTCTGCATTACGATACCAATTCTCGTCCTCCTTTTGTACCTACACTACTCTAACTACCTGTTCCTTATGATACTATACCTCAATCACCTATGCATCTCTCTGCCTCGAATCCTATCTTCCTACCTAACGCTGTATTTCGCCTTTACTTACACACTATCTTACATATTCATTCTTACACAATTTCCCGGATCAATAAAAGAGTTTGAAGATTAATAAAAAAAATTAATAAAATATAGAGAGACAGACTTTATATAAATAAATAAAAAAAAAAATATATATAGTATATATTATTTTATATATTATATTACATATAGATTGTAATAAAACACAATAAAAATAAAAACACTTTGAAATTAAATTAGTTTACTTTCAATAGAAAGTTCTAGAAACTTGAAAGTATATCCGTGAATTTTTAGATTCTTCGAACCACTTTAAAGATATGATAAAAGGGTCGGAATCGAAAGATTCATGTAGGGCCACATGTGGTGCCGTTCTTCACATAAGCCACTAAGGTTTAATAAAAACTTATATTATTTAAGAATAAAGTCATGTGTTTATTATTATATTTTCACGCGATATAACGAAATCCTTAAATTCCAATAAAATCAGTTCAATTGAGATTCGAACCAAAATGGTTTGAGTCTTCACTAAACAAGTCAAAAATGGTTTGAGTCTCGGCCGAGTCTAAACCGATTTTCTGTGATTTTAGTCAGAAATTTGTCAAAATAGGTTGTCTGTTAAAAAGGTTTTGCCAGCATCCCTTGTAAATTGCATTTCCTTGTAAAACTTAACTAGAGCCAACAATGAAGTCGTGCTTAGGTCTACAATTTTCGCGAGCTACGCATTGTTACGCTTCATCTTCCGTGCGGGGAACCGCCGTATGTTCCAAAGAGGCATCCGGTTTTCACTTCGACGTCGAGGCACATGCGACAATAGACAATAGAAGATTTTCACGGAGAATTCTTTTCTGTTCCAGTGTTAAGACGGATATGGGTGCAGCCGGCGCGGTATCCAGACTCTACATCGCGAACGCGAATAAAAAGGACAGCGGAAACTACAGCTGCGCTTTGGCGGATGTAGCAGCAGCGACTATGGTGTCCGTCCACGTACTAAACGGTATGTTCCTGGCGCGAGTGCTCTCGCGAAAGTGCGAGCGGTCTGTGCGTTCCTGTGCGCGTTAAAACCACACTCCGAGCCGTAATCAAAGGACCGACGGTGGTCTCTGTTGGCTACCGATAAACGCGTTCAGGGAGAGCTGGGCAAGTGGAAGGAGAACATGGAGGGTGGTAGAGTCAGCCAACCTCGGCGTTCGACGTCTATCGATATAATTTTCCACTCCTACGCACGCTCGATAATTGATTTTCCACAGCTTCTCAACGGCGCGGCAATGCCTATTACTAGTCGTTCTTTTCTTTTCCTGTGTTCACCACCTTCCGTTTCTCGCCTTGCTCGCCTTCCTTATACTCCGCGAAAGTGAGAAAAGAAAGAAGGGAGGAGGAAGGAAGGAAAAAGAGAAAGAGAGAGAAAGAGGAGACCACTGCATTCGGTCCGTCTCCTCTTTTTCTTTCTCTCTCTTCTACACATCTCACGCCAATCGATCGTGTAGGAATACAAAGCTGTGATTTCATCAGGGTAAATAACCGGCTGCTAGGCGTCGCAGCCGACGGACGGAGGCGCTGTCGTTGACGGCTCGTTCGATCGCTTTTCGTGATCGTCGTGGCGCGGTCTCGATTTCCGCTTTGTCGACGACGTTTCTGCGCTAAATGACATTTTTGACGGTGCCGACCCGGGAAAATAACGCACCGCGCGATATTAAGTAGATGGGGAAGAGGGCGGGGGGAAGGGGAAAATGACGGTAAAACGAAGACTCCGGCTAATACATAATACGTGTGTGTGTGTGTGTGTGTGTGTGTGTGTGTGTGTGTGTGTGTATAGACTCGCCCAAGACTTTTTTCCTGCTCGTGGCTAACCGTGCTGTTTCGTATGCTCCGATTTCCGTCTAATACGGTGTATGGAGTATTCATAGAAAAGTTCGTTGAATATCCACGTTGACCTATTTCTTTCTTCAGCGCGCTGCCGAGCGCTGCCGTAGAATTCTTCTTCCCTCTGTAATTTCTCTCATTCTCGCTGCATAGTCAAATTAACGTCTTTTTTAAAAAAGTATACATAATTCTCGGACGTACTAATTCTTACGTTTTACAATTGCGCGATGTGAACATGGGTGAGTCTCATCGCGATGAGAGATAGAACCGTGGGTTTAATTTACCGTGTTCATAGATAGAGATTGTTAACGCGAAAATTGCATTGTAGCTTGGCGTGTTGTGTGGAATGTTTAACGTCGAATAAATAAAGAGACCGGTCTCCAAGATGGGATTAGAGTGAATGAAGATTGATAGAGGCAGACGAAGTCAATCAATCTCAGTCCAATTAATCCGGCTCGATTGAACGACTAAATATATTTGGTCCTAACTTATATCGACAATATGTATTTTCGCGAAAGTGGGTTAACCCGAACGATTGTTCCGCAATTCCGATGAGCGATTCACGGCGCGTCGTACACATGTTTGATACGTCGTTGAATAACGCTCGCTCTTCAGCCCTCTTTATTTTTAAACGACGTAAACCGCGAAACTTCCGCAACACGGAGGAAAAGCACGTAGGAAAAGTCGAGTCGATGACGCGTGCTCCCGCGCGAAATGCCGCTAAACGCAAGCTTTATAGTAGCGGATGGGCGATGCCACTGCAAGACGGTCGATATCGCGGCCTGGGGAACGTCTTTCGAACTTATAGCGAAGGAGCTCAACGAGTTTTCACGGCGGCTTTTCGCGCTCGGGGCAGAGCGGCTCAGAGACGCCGCATCTAGCTGATGTGCATTATTTACGGCGGATTACCTTAAGTCGGTCCAATACGAGAGTTCGATCCTTTCGGTGAAGTTTGACGAGGGAGAGAGGAGGGAGGAGGAAAAGAAAGCGACCACAGAAATGTCTGCTTGTGACGTATAATCTGCGTTTGGTTTCTTTCGAGCGGGTTAACGAGAGAAAACGTGTAATTCCGCGAATGTTTATTGCCATTGCGCGAATTCGTAGAGACATTAAAAAGCCACGATCACGAGGATCACTATTTGCGCGCGACTTTCTTTTTCTACGAAAAAGAAAGTCTCTTCACTACGTCGCACTTACATTTTGTTCGTTGGCGCACAACAGGAGGTCTCGTTTCTGGTTTTACCAGACGAGTCCTCGACTGCGTTCTCTCTTCGAATACATATTACCGGCAAAAACAAGTGTCTTACATTATCCCGCAACGCGCCCGCGAAGACGCGACGACAGCCAGATGGAGTTAGTGCGAGCCACCGTTGTCGTCACGATGAGTATGCGGAATGCGCAAGTCGGAGAGAGTTATTACCGGTGGCGTTGTATGCCGGTAACTACAAGAGCGATCATAATACTGGAAGTAATGCAAATTTGCTTGACAAGTAGTCGGACGCTCGAGGCTCGCATTCGAAAATAGTTTGCCGTGGCGAGAGTCGACCAACGTCCTGAAATTTCGCAGCCGTTCTCATCGTCAACGACGACGGTGCGCGCTGCATCGTCAAGCGCGCGTTTCCCACTTCCGCAGTTTCGTCTATCCGTTTATGCATGTGATCGACGCTAATGACGTCCGCACGTGCGCGAGAGAGAGAGAGAGAGAGAGAGAGAGACGAAGGAAGAGACAGGGAGAGAGTAAAATTCGCGAAAGCCGCGGCTCGCCGCGGTCGTCTTCGACCACGATCGTTACCCGAGCCGCATCCTAATGCCACGATTCACATGGCATTAGGATGAGCGATCGATTCTTCTTCGTTGCCTGCGAACATTTGCATAAAATGGCTAGATTCGTGAACGTTCCGTTCTGCCGGTTCGGTAATAGCTTCGTAAGCTGCGGCTCAAAGCCGCTTTTGACGATAACGCTGTGAGAAATCGTCGTATCACGCGTGCGTTACCTTCTGCCAAAGTCTAGGCGAGATAGCCAAGTTGTTTCTCGCGAACATTACATTTTCGCGTGATAAACAATGCGCGGCAAAGTATGCCCCACCGCGATGCCGTACCCGTTCGTGACTCGTTAATATTCCGGTATAACGTACTTGAGGATTCTTTAGTTTATTATGCAAATGAAAACCGCACTCTGTGTGCGTATACCTGTGTGTTGGCGGATGCATCGCAGTGTTGTACAGGGCGGCCGTTCTGCAGAAAGTAGAGAAGCCGCCGCCGCCGCCGCCTGTAGAACGTCTAAGAGCGAAAAAAGGAAGTCGTGACTTTAATTCTCCTTCGGCGAAGCGCGTGACACGCTCGTACATCCTTCGTAGTTCTTTTCCTTTTCTTATAATTAATATGCCTTTAATAATGTACCGGGCTACCTCGCTTTGTAATTAATTACCCTCGAGATATGTCACGGTTATTAATTAAATACGAGCGCCGCTATAGAGACGAAGCACATTACCCGGCGCTATCTTAACGTACTTCGCTTCGAGGACGTCCCTCGTTGCAGCAGCTTTCCTTCTCTTGCAACTTCTGCTTCTTTTTCTTCCTCTTCCTCTCGCTCTTTTTCCCAACTCGCGATCTCGCCCCTATCGTTCTCCGCGCGTTCCTAGTAGAAGATTACTGTCGGTAAGACCGTTTTAGCTAAAGTACGTTTAAGTCACGATATATATGTGTGTAAGCTTCGTTTAGTAGAATCGAAGATTCGCCGATAATTCGCGAGCCCGGATAAAAGCGGCAGCGCCATCGTTTGCGGCAGAGCTCGGCGAAAAAAGAATAGAAACAAACTAAACGGTAAAACACACTGCGTTAAGACCCCGTCCAGGCCGCCGTTCGTTCCTCCGTTCTTTCGCTGTGGATCCGGATGAAAGGAATCCACAGCGAGGGAAAGGTGCAAGGAAACGTCCGGGACGACCGGCCGGCTCGTTCTCGCGAAATGAGCGCTTCTTGGCCCGGTTAATGCCTACGAGGGAACGCCACATCCAGTGGCGACTAGATATAGAGTGAACGGTCGGCCGCTCGCTCCTGGCACGGAAGCCAGCTCCGAGAGGTTATTTCGCGGGGTGTCACGCCCTGCCCATTAATAATCGTGGCCGCAGGCTTCGCGAGGGCTACACGTCGACCCGCCTCTATCCCTTCTGTGACACGGAAGTCTGCCGTGTCGCCTCTTCGGCATCGCAGTGGCTGCTAAGTTCGCGGCATTCTCTCTCCCTCATCGTGCTCGTCGCGTTACGTCGCCGACGGCCGGGCGTGAGAAGTTTGCAAAGCCCTCTTTCTCTCTTTCTCGCTCGTCGTGAGAGACGCAGTTAACAGGTTTCGCGCGAGACGCGGTCATGTATAATACACACAGAAAGAATCTCCGGAGGCCGCTTGACAGCTCATTTCGCATCCACTTCTCTCCACCGTGACGATTCTTTAAATCCTCCCCGGCCCGGCAGCCGTCCGCAGAGTCGCGACGGAGGAAATCGCACCCCCGAGCCGCCGCGCGATTAATCGCGCGGTGTTGCGCGTCGGCATATTATACAATTCCCGGCTTGTCGGTGCGAATTAAAATCGATGCTCCTTTTCTGAGCAAGACCGTGAGATTGCACCGATTAATGTCCCGGTCGTTACTTTCGACCGAACAGCGCGACATGACGAAAGAGAAAAAAAAAGAAAATCGTTTCTATGAAGCTTTTCGGCTCGATTACATTCGACGATCGCTGAATAGTCGCATACGGCCGCACGTCGACTTCGGTTGACAGATATTTTTCTTCGTTAAGCCATTACTATATATGGCTCATACGATATATATTTGTACGGTAGATCTTTGTTACGATATCTTTATTTATTTAAAAAAAATTAAAATTTTTGTATTCAAGTTAATATGAATTTCATCAGAGGATAGGGGAAAAACTCGGTAGTCGGCACTCATCAATTTTCGACCTTTGCTCGGGTACCTCATCAACTGTTAAGGTAGATACGGAAATTTATTAAATATTTATTGATTATATAGGTCTGCATGGTTTTGATGTTTGATATTTGATGTTTGATGTTTGATGGTTTCCCACGTAATTTTGTGCGCTGAATTCAAATTTGATCTCAGAATTTGCGCATCACGTCAGGTTTCCCAAATATATGAGATTAAATGCATAAAAATGACAATTTTAATCAACTTCATGTATTTATTTTAGACACCAAATTTTTTTGAATTTTTGTTAATGTCATAGCATAGTACGAGTCTTCTTCTTTAAAATCCATTTTTAATCTTCCTCGTGCGATATTTTGTTACCGAAATGTACCATTTTAAAGATATTAAAATTACAAATGGATATCCAAAAACCCCCCAAAAAATCCAAAACTCAAACCTGAAATCCATAAACCCAAAACTCGTAAATCCGAAACTCATACTTAAATTAGAATAATGTGTTAGCCAATTATACCACTTTTGATGTTATATCTTGCACGCGTATACATAATTTTAATATCTTTAAAGTAATATATCTCGGGAATAAATTATCTCACACAGAGACGATTAAAACAGAATTTTAAAAAGGAAGATTAGTAACTATACGATGACACTATCAGATATATTAAAGAAAATTTAGACTCACTAAAATAAATGTATAAAGCCAAAATCGTCATTTTTTACACCTTTAACCTCATTTATCTAAAAAATTAGCGCACAAAATTACCTACGAAACTATTTCGTTTGCTCAAACATGTTTTAAGACTCTTTATTATGCAGGTCTATGCTATTTATTGATTGATACTTATTATTTATTTATTCGTTTTCTTTTAAATCCTCGTACACCTTAATACTCAGCAACGTCCGCGCAAGAGTGCCGAGAACAGATACAGAGTGCCGGCTACTGGACGTTTCTCCCTACACATTACATGCAGATGTTGGCGATTTTCGCGTCCCACTACGTATTTTCTCGCGTTCCGTTGTTCTCAGCCAACGGAACATACATTATGCGTGACGGATACTCGCCGTACCGAAAGAATTAAGTCTCGAATTTTGATTCTTCGCGAACGAACAATCGGAATTACAGCGGTCGGCAGTAGTTGGATTTATGAAGGATCGAGAGAGCATCGTACGGCTGCGCGCGCGTGCTCGTACACGGTACGTCGGCGCAACGTGATTAGCGAAGTCAATGAAATTACGACGCATTTGCACGCGATATTACGAGGCATCGCATATGTATGCGAGTAGCATGAGTTATCGGCTAATTAATTTGTAATTAAGCAGAGATCGAGCGCCGTCGCGAATTATTCTGCATAATCCGCGCGCAGGCTGAATAGATTTCGGCCGGCTAAATAAAATACACCCGTGTGACGCGTTAACACATCCGTCTTATTGTTGACGCGTACTACTTGACGGTTGTGTCTCTTTCTTTCTCCGAATTTTCTTTTTTTTTCGTTTTTCCCTTTTTTGCTCCCGAGCCAGAGCGAGCGTTAGAATTGAGAATAATACAATTGCGAATAATAGAATTGAGAATATACTTCCATTTCTTCTGCGAATTAACGAAAGCGTTCTCAATAAGATAGGACGTCTCAGTGAGGATCCGGACGATTCAATTAACGGGACGGGGATCCTGGGATTAAGAGCCGGTTTACTAGGAACGCGCGTAAACAGAGTTGTAAATTTTTCTCCGACCGGCAGCGTTTAATTGAATCTTGGGAAGGGTGGCCGTTTGTATGACTAGCCGCCAAGAGTGCCACGTGGATAGCATGTTTTCGACTTCGCGGAAACTTTCGAGTCGATTGAGGTAAACGTTTCACGTTCGGTTGCAGCGAAAATGTAAAGAGAAACTACAGAGTTAATGAGTGGTGGAAGAAGAAGTGGAAGAAGAAGAAGTGGAAAGGAAGAGCTGTACACGCGCGGCAGCGTGATCCGACGAATACACATTCCGAATCTTGTAATATAATCCTTTCGGTTGGGATTCGTCACGCGATCAAGATGCTCAATGTATCGTGTTGCGCGCCGCTATTTGTAGAATTTATTAAGGCCTATCTTGTTGATTCGCGTCGCGAATTTGTTAATTGTTAATTAAATGTAGAAGATTACAATTGCATTATTGGATTATGCGCGAAATTTGCAAGTCGCAAATATACAGCCGTGGCGTTTGAATATATTTGCACACGTGGAGGATGATAAAACGCATTCAACATGCGAATGCGCCGACAGTTATTAGAATCGCGTTTCTACAATAAATAAATTGTTACAAATCCACGCGCGTTGTGACGTCTATCTGCTCGGCAGATGTGTACAGCGGAAAAATCGGAGGCAACAATGGCGAATAATCGACAGCGAAATAGTTACACGAGAGAGAGAGAGAGAGAGAAAGAGAGTCGATAAATCCAATTTTCTTTTCTATCATTAACACTCTCATCGAATAAATAAACCTCAACGATCAGTGCACTTTGTGTCCGTTGCTGCGGTAATCGCGTGTCATCTCACTTGAACACGAAACAAAGGAGAGATAATTTTTCTCGCGATCGTCACGCTCGCCACGTAAACAGCGTTAAATGCGGTAAATTTTTTCCGCGTTTACACGATGGTTGGTTTTCGATCGACCATTTGCGAGACTCGTACGGACCACAGTTTTTGTCACTTTTACGCGCGACGGTCGGTCTGTAGGATTGCTTTGCATTTGATATTTCACTATGGATTTTATCGATGGCCGAGTTCGCGTTTATATTTTGAATTTTTCGGCAATTTTGCAGCCAAATACCGGTCGCAATCACCGTGTGTATGCCGATCCCTCGGCTTTTATCACCGTGGCTATAACCCCGTGTGACATGCTAAATAAAAGGATTGAAACGCTATTCGCGTTTGATCGGCGAGCATGTGAGCACGTTCGCGGAGTATATTTCGTTCATTAAAACGCAAAATAGATTAGTTACGATATACATATAATAAATACCAGTGTCCTCGCACGAACATTTTTAACGCCGGAGTATCGGCCGTATTAATTTGCCGATTTATCATCCGATTTCGCTGTCAGTAAATTCAGACACCGGTAATGGAACGGACGAGTATCGTAAAAGTCAATAATTTCTAGATACGGAGATAAAGAGATACAGGACGGAAATTTAATCCCAGGACAGATAAGAAATGGACGATGGAAAACGGTTGTGTAACAAGCCGTTTCTGTTGTCGACCGGTTGTCAAGCGGCCCCGAAGAAGCTGAAGTTTGAAGTGGAGATATTGTGTGCTTTCCATTATTGTCGGCGATTTTACACTTAACTTAACGTGTCTCCTTTAAAAACCCCTTCCCTCCCCTCTGTCGCGTTCTCGGAAATTTTCTCCGTCACGAAATTCGAAGTCGAGAGTGTTTTCTTTTCCTTCCTTCTCCTCTTCGTTTCTCTGATTCGAAGAGTCACGCGCGGTTATTAGTTTCAAGCATGCGATGTAACGGTGAACGCGCTGATTTATCTGAAGAGATGACAATTTAGTAACGCCAACTACCACAACAACGCGCATATACGCGCTCCTCGCCCTCGGGCCCCACGCTGAGAGCCGCGCAACTCATGAAATATATTTGTTAGGATACCTTTGCGTTGGAAAAATGATACTCGACTTTAATCTGCCGCGTTTTGCTCGCCGAAGCAACATCAGCGGAATATCGAGGACGCGGGCGTGCGACGATATTTTTCGTAAATATCTCGTTTTTCGGAAAAATTCGCCGCGCTCTCGAAAATATCATTCGACTTTTCGCCCCTTGCCGCGTAAACAAGAATACATACTGTGTACGACAACGCCGATGAGGAAGGCGGCGGTATATGTGCATGTATATGTATATATGCGGGTTGTGAATTAATCGCGCGTATTTCCGTGCTCTGTTACAGGGGAGAATCCAGCTGCCATGCAACACGGCGGTACCACGGCCCCGAGAGGGACCTTTATCTTCACCGTTGTGATATCACTGTCGTCGCTCTTAAGGTGACCGTGATGACCCCGGTGCATTTTGGACCTGCGATTCGAATGGTGCTAACTTTTCTCCCTCCCCGCGGTGAGAGACTCGTGCGCCCGGGAATGTATTCTGTTGAAGCGGGAACCTCGGGCTCGGTGTCACAGAGCCCTCTTTCTCCCTTACCACCACCACCTTCTCCTTCTGCTCCACCATCATCCGTTCACCTCTCCATGGGCGACCTAAGCTGCCGCCACCGTCGCCGATGCTGCGCGATCGATCGCACGAATTACGGGGCGGATCTATCGTTTTCGCGACTACGAGACCACGACGTGTGACAACGAAAGAGATATCACCATCGCTGCTGCTGCTGCTGCTGCTGCTATCATCATTACTACTACCACCACTACCACCACCCCCGTTGGTTCTCCGTGCTTCGAAATACGATGGGACATACGACTCTTAGATGAGACACAAACCTGCTTAGGAGCGCCGCGGTTTTCTACCTCGCGACTTCGTCGCGCGTCCGCGAGACAACGCGTTGCGGCTATGGTAACGACGTTTCAGTCTCTCTCGGTAAAAATAACTACTCCCAACTAATCGCAGTCCCGGGAGATGATATCGACATGGAATTGACAGCGTAGAGTGAAGAACGCGCGCGCGCGCGCGCGCTGTGAATTTCGAGAAGAACGAAAGGGAGAAATTCTTCGCATCCCTATCGCGTGCTTGAGCTCTCTCTCTCTCTCTCTCTCTCTTTCTCTCTCTCTCTCTCTTCCGTTCCCTTTCTCGTCCTCTCTTACTCTCCCTCTTTCGCAATGTTAAGGTGTCGCACGCGTTATTTCGCGCGTTCGCGGTGTTCAAACGCAGAGCTGGTAATTAAATTCCTGTTTGTGTGTTATGTATGTATAAACGCGACTACCCACGACACGTGTTTCTAATGGCGGTAAAAAAATTGCGCGATGATTCGATCGAAATACGCTCATATGTATTTTTTTTCTTCTTTTTTTTATCGTTTTATTCTCCTTATTGCGAGGTTTTTCGACATCTGTTCCGAACTAATTATTAAACGATTTTTTTTGTCGATATAACGCTGTAAACACATCACGTTTCGTTTCTGATTCAGATATAAATTACATCGTGGAACGTGTCGCTCCCTCCTCAAGTTTGATGTGTCATTTTCGTTACTTCTCTTTTTTTTTGTTTCGTTCGGAGGGTATAACAACGAAAAGCTTTCCATCGATCGAAGGAAACGAAGTTTTACGAAGAATGCGGCAAGTGCGTTTTATAAGCAAAGTTCGAAGATACGTGAGAGACGTGTATATATATACTTTTGTATATATATATACTTTTATATATGTGTATATACACACACATACATATACGTACATATACATTTGTTGAACTTATATTGTGTGCGAGATGTTATGTACTTTTAGCATGCGAGTGACGTTTAGTACGAAAGTTAGAGGAAATTCCAAAATGTTGAACGAATTCGTCGAACGACACCGTCCAGAGAATCCGACGTACTGGCTGCTCGGCGAATGAGGCGGCGTTTGAATTTGGATTAGCGATCATCTCGATGTTCGACGGGCAAATTTATTCAACCGGATAGACTGTGCGCGAGTTTCCTTTCGTTTCACGCGCGAATTACGCGGCCGCATAATCGCGCCCTACGGAGAGACAATAGAAATCGAGGAAATTTGTCTGGTATCTCTCAAATTTTAACAGTCATGAACCACGTTCGCACACAGACACACTCACGCACACCCATCCCTCTACATATCATCTATATTTCGTTAATGAACACCCAAAAAAACATAATCTTATCCTTAGCAGAATTTTTTTATGTGTTAGTTTCAAGAGTTCTTCTAAAAGGTAAATATTCTAACATTCAGAAAGAATAACTCTATTTGCGAAGTGCCATTTCCTGTTCCTAAGTCTCATATTATAAGGGAAAACCTTTACTGAGAGAATATTTCTCTTCTAGTGAAGTGGACTAATAATCGGGAATCCACTGGATTGCTATTCTAACTTTTTTCCCTTTTGAATCAAGAGGAATATGTTTATTTAAAGCAGAGTGCCGCGCGCGACAAGCACGACTTGCACATTCGGAGAAAAATATAATAGCAACTATATATATGTGATAAATATACAAGTTTTGTACGTAGCATTAATGCATACAGTTTGATAAACTACCCGAAATTTTGATCCTATATTAAACTTTGAATTCTACAACGCAGTAAGAGTTATGTTAACAAAGTAGGTTTAATTCTAATGATACAATTTATTCCTACTTTGACTCTGATATTCCAAATTTATCTTTTCACTTTCTTTAGCATTCATAATAAATTGTATTATAGGCTTCAGAATATCAAAATATATGTTAAATAGAATAGTAAAGCTAAATATATGTTAAATAGAATAGTAAAGCTAAAAGTAGGATCAAAATTTTGATATTTTGTAGTTATTACAGTTAAAGCTGAATGATTAAGGTACTATATAGAAAATTAGAGAATCATATATAGTTCACGTAAATCGCTCAACTTTATCTGCGATAATTAGAAAATAGTGATTAAACTACAAAAGTATATGTTACGTCGTTACCATCCTGCATTTTTCTCCGAGTGTGCTGTAGATAAAAGACGAAATTCTTCCACTTTTAAGAATATCGTGCTTTGAATATTTTCCTCTTGGTTTGAGAAGAATCCTCTTGAGGCCATACATAAGAGGATTCCGCCAAGGATGACATGATATTTTATTGTGCGAAAAAGGAATTGTCCAAAATGTGAAGCGCGTTAATTCTATCCGCGCGTTTGCGAGCGTCATTGTCGAGTCCGTCATGCGGGCGCGATATTTTCGGGGCTCGCAGATGGATCGAAGAAATCGCCCGGCCCCGACGAGCGTGAAACAACGATCGCACCATTGTCCGCCGTGGTTTTTGGGTTTTCACGTCCGGCGTGAGCACGCGCCGCGAAAAATATGCGACGAACGTGAGCGACGAAGATGCATTCATCCGACGTTGTCCGCTCGTCCGCTTAAAATATGCCTGACGTTGACGAACGCCAAATAAAATCCGCCGGCGCGGTGGGAGGAAACGCAGCAGTTGCGCGTGTAAAAAAGATTTCATCATTACAGAAACTTGACGGCCGTTCTTGTCTGCCGACTGTTCGACATATTTTTTTATTCCTTCCTTCTTTTTCCGTCCGACCGACACGGTCGGACAGCTTGCGCAGGGCTCTTTCGTTTTTACACGCATAATGTTGTACTTTGTGAATTTTGTGTTTTACGTGTTGGCGCCATATCGCGCGTCGTCTTGGTCACTCGAGAGCTCACGGAGTACTTTTGGAATTTATAGTTGTTTCAACAGCCGGCGGTTATGTTTAATTCACAACATAAAAAGTGGCTTCTTATCCTCGAACGAAACTCAGGCGCGACGTACATAATTCCACGTGCGCGGCAACTTTTCTCACATGTGTAAAATTTGGAGGAATTATAAATGATGATAATAATAAACTTCCAGGCGAATTTTCTTCCTTCACGTTGCACGTAACGCAATGCGCGAAAACGAAGGAGTTTTACGTAATGAGCTATTACTATGTAATTTATTTTGCACAGTCGCCATTTGTACAATATAAACAATGTTTGAAGGTAAAATCGTTTTACGTACATCTGCTACCTAAAGGAGAAATCGATGTAGCGTTTGAAGAACGTGGCGCAAAGAACTCCGTGCTTTGAGAAACTACCACGTATTTTATACGAACTCTTCTCCTCCTTCTCTTTCTTTTTCTTTCTCTCTTTCTCTCTTTCTCTCCCTGTCTAACCTATCCGTCGTGGACATTGTGAATTACACGCTTTGAGAGTGTTGGATTGGTTTGCATAAAAAAACAATATTAAAAGGACGTAATGAAACGGCACGTCGGGGAAAAATGTGCGAGAGGTAGAGTGCGGAGGAACCGAATTCGGCGGGAAAATCGGGTTAAGTCCGCAAATAACCGTGTACGGTCGGCATTTGCATTTTAGAAATTTTATAGCGCGCCCGCGCGCGCGCGATGCGCGGCAGTGAGTATACGATTGCATTAGAGATGTACTGAGGCGGAACTGCAACATGCAGGATCGGTGAGGGGGAGAGGGAGGGGGAACGCGCGGTGGCAGCGCGGTAAAAGCGCGACAGTCGGACAAGGATCGATCGCGGCAACAAATTGCCGATCGTGCCGATGGAAAATGAACCGTTAAGCAGCCCTCCGTGACAATGACGTACGGTTAGTTTGGCGTAAATCAGTAGGCTCCGCTCCTATCCCCTATGCTGCTCTATTTCACTCCTCCTCCACCCTACCAACACCCGTAGAGGCTACCTCGCTCGCTCGTTCGCACGCACGCACGCTCGGTGGCTCGCTCACTCGATTGCCGGCTGCGTAATGTGATAATTTAACAGAAGCATTATTGCACGGGCAGGTGCAAAATATTTCAACGAGAGACGCGTGCGGCCGCACGCGATCTGCTACGCAAAAACCACATCCGCGCTGTAACCAGCGCCCCTCGATAAATTTAATTATTATTTCGAGCGAGAGAGGGCGAATGCCGAATCGAGGCCGAGTATTGGAATGCATTGAATTGCAACGGTATCGTCGCCCGAATGTTGCGCGGTTGAACTTTGCATCCGGCCTTCCCTCCCTCCCCTCTTTCCGGGTTTTCGCTCTCTTTGCCGAGCTCTCTCTCTCTCTCTCTCTCTCTCTCTTCCCCTTCCTTCCTCCCTCCGGCTACCGCTCGCTTCATGATTCTTCCCGGTATTCTCTACCAAGTCGAACCCCCCTCTCCTCTGTCCATCGCTTTTCTACTTTCGTCGACGTTGTCTTTATATCTTTTAATGAAAGTTTCTTGGAATAACGTCTATTCTGTTCCCCTTTGTTTCTGCGAGAGCGTAAGATTTTGATGTAGCCCGCGGCCTTAATTCGCGCGAGACCCATTTGCGAATTAACGTTAAAAGCGCGGCAAAAAGCATCGACGGGCGGTTTTACAATGGCACGCTGGCGGCGTAAACGCAAATTTTGCGCACGGACTATTCATTCTCGCTTGTCGACAGGCAATACGACCGAATGTTATCAGTTTCGATTGTTTACCTGCCCCGCGCGTTTGTTCGCGCGGAAACCATTTTCGCGAAAGATAGGGGAGAAATTTTTAGCTCGCGCCGTGCGGCGTACATCGGCCATTTGTTAAAGGACTCGCTCGATTAACGGTACGACGGTATCATTGTCATTATTCTCGGTTTCTGTCACGCCTAAATGAGCGTGTATCCTTCAACGATTCCCTAACAAGTGACAGTCGACGGGAAATTGCACTCTTCGCAGATATAACCTGGTAACTTCTGATTAGCCGCTGACCGATCGTCAACCGATCGCATCCTTCAGATATTACTCGTCGTTACTCCTTTTATCTCGCTCGGTAAAACTCGATGGGGATCAAGCGCGACGAGCAACGACGCCAAATTGCAAAAATGATCGCGCCACGTTAAAATCCCGCTGACCCGTGCGAGTCACGAAATCGCGCGTAATCGAAGTAACGTTAAAATAAGGTTCGTTTCGATAATGGACAATGAATAACATTTCCGACCCTCGACCCCCGCCACCGCTCCGAAGCAAAACGCGCGCGAAATTTTCAGTAGCAGATATTTCCGTTTGTAGAGCACCGTAAATTAATATAAAATACACACGTAACGACTCGCGCGGGGAATATACGCGGCATATGTCGTAAAGGTGAGCGCCAACGTGTGCGCTCGATTATTGCGGCGTCGCTTAATTTACGAGTGATACGAATCGTGGATTTCGGTATTGCGAAATTTACACGCTCATCTCTCGGAGGTTACGCACGCCCGCTCTCGCCCATCCACTAATTTCCTGGTTTTGAAGAGCGGACTAGGGGAGAGAGCGCATCGACCTCGCATTTTTATCAGATTAAGCTTAATTAAAGGCAGCCCTCCGGTGAATATAATTGTCCATCGTTTAATTCCTCTATGTTTTGCCCAACCCTGGTTATGGGACGCGTCCTGCCGTTGTCCAGTTGTCGGCCGGCTCGCGTGAGCGTCTCTGGATAATATCATGTGCATGGGTGTGCGTATACAACGTCTGTACTGATACGAGAGAGCGCGTGAGAGGGATCGCGAGTGAAATAATGTGCTTGTGTTCGATAATGTAACTCGAGAATTAGAAGTTAAGCCCGCGTGTCGTTTTCGAACGATCGAGGCATGTGTGTGTGTTTGTGTGTGTGTGAGAAAGAGAGAGAAAAAAGAGAGAGAGAGAGAGAGAGAGAGAGAGAGAG